ACACACACACACACACACACAGAGGTTGCAAAGTGAGTCACCCGACTGACCACATCAATAGCATCCACAAGAAAGGGAAACTGAAACATCGTTCTTCTTCCCTGCCTGGTTATTCATAATAAAAATTGGGCCCCAAATCTTGCATCATGCTTTTAAGGATTAACAAATTCCTTTGGGAGAAGTTTTTGAAGACTGCGAGCTGTTTCATCAGTTGCAGGATCGGACACCTCCCCATCAGGGAGGCGGCAGCCTGCAAAGGTTTATGTCAAACGAAACTCATTAAACCGTTTCGATGCCACAAGATTTCTTTAATTGCTAACAATTTAAAGCAGCAGGACATTAGGTAAACTTCAATGAACAGCTGCTTGGATTCCTGTTTGTATTTGTCACACATTAAAGGAAACAGGGAATCCAAGACCTGCAACTGATGGCTCACCAAGCTGCATCTTGAACTATTTTTCTGATCTTCTCCGGACTTTACATCCAACAGGAGTGTCTTGAATGCACAAGGGGAATGTTTTAAAAAAAGGAGTAAATGCCGTCCAATCTGTGGTCAATGCCTGCCAACTGCTGGAGCAGAAAATATGGAGTTTGAATTTGCCCCTCCGCTGACTTTTCCAGATGGCATCATTTTCCGACCACAAAGCAATTAATCCCGGGGGTGGGGGGAGAAAGAATGGGCATTTCTCCACGCTAGCACCCACCTACCAGGAGTCTGCGGAGATGACTTTAAACACTGAAACAGGCCTGCAGGGGAAACAGCTGCAAAAAGCAGCCCCTAGTTAGCTTTTAACTAGAATAGCTAACTTTGACTGGGCAAGGCAGACATTTTTGGGAGGGTGCGGGGGGGGTTCGCTTTACTTGGCTCGGGCATACACGATCAAAGAGCAAACGTTCCCTCCTTCCCTCCTCTTAAGTATGAAGGGGCTGTTCGGAGCTGTACCTGCTGCAGTATTTTCCAGAGGTGGGTGGGGTATATTTTGCAAACACTCGTGCAGAGATGTCTTGGAAACATTTGTTCCTAAAAGACATGGTTTGCCTCACTTCCCGCAGTTTTAAGGAATGAAAAACCAACTGGATTTACAAAGAAGGTGGAAGAACAATCACCAATGAATGCCAGGTGCAGCTTTAGTAACCGAGACTAAAAGTTTGAAGTGAATCCCGGTTGTTATTTAACAGCACAGATTTTTCTCTGTTGCCAAAATCTTGCGCACAAAGCATGTTCGGGAAGGACAACACTGGAGGAACTGAGGAGCCGCAAGAAGTGCATGAAAGAGGAAGCTGGGGGGGGAGAGAATGCATGCTTACAGGGAGGCTGCTCAAAACACACTGGGTACAACGTGTTCAAACAGATCTGAACACTGTTTTCTAAAACTCCTTTCCCTTCCAAACCCTACACCACCCGAACCCAAACACACAGAAGAGAAGATCATCAGGCATGAACTGTATAGTCCTCAGAAGATGAAGCCACAAATTTTCCCCATGTCTAAAGCAGAGTGACAGGAGAGAAGGATGAGCGAAGCAAACCCAGCAGTGTGCGAGTGTGTGGGGAGAGTCTTATCTAAAGGAGCAGCATAGCAGAAGGGGGAGAAAGGAAAACAGCGGTAGGCGACAAAGTTTTCTCCTTGACAGCCATGAATTCATGACAGCTCCGGAGGGAAAAGAGGGAAGGGCTGCCAGGCGAGCAGCATAGCAGAAGGGGGAGAAAGGAAACAGCGGCAGGCAACAAGGTTTTCTCCTCGACAGCCGTGGGTTCATGACAGCCCCGGAGGGAAAGGAGGGAAGGGCTGCCAGTCTCTCTCACCGGTATTTGCTGGATTTCGCCCGTGTTGGTGATGATCTGCTGCATGACCTGCATGGTCTGACCCGTTCCGCTCTGCGCCGGCTGCGCCTGCCCTTGCGGCTGCGCCTGGACGATCTGGACCTGTTGCCCTTCGCCAACCTGCATTGTTACCGGAGTGGTCTGAAAGGAGGAGAGAGTGCGAGGGGAAAAGAGCCTCAGGTTACAAAGCTGTTGGCAACAGGGTCAAGACTAGCCATACACTCGGGCTGAAACGTCTTTCAAAAAACACCAATAAATAAGCTCTCAGTTTTTCTTAGAACGGTTAGAGCGGAAAGGTGGAGGCCCCACGCTGCACACCTCCACCCACTACGTGGTGAGAATCTGAAGATGGCAATTCATGTATCTGCTTTGGGTGCAAGGTGATTAAAGTGGATAAAATTTAAAATGCACAACTCTCAGGGCTGGATGTGAAAACAGAGGAGGACCAACTTCTGCTACAAGGAAGAAAATGCTGTGAGAAGTGGAGAAACACAACAAAAGAGAGCCACAGCAGTTACCCTCTCTGGCACTGCCAGCTCAAGCCTGCCATCTCCTTGGTGGCTCGAGAGACTGGCCCATCCCACCAACCTTCCCTCTGACGGCTGGCCTTCTCTGGGGAAGCCAAGGAAGCGTAGGACATTGTCAAGAGTTAACTGCCCTCCTTTCCAAGCGCACGGGCATCTTGGGGGGGGGAGAAGCGGGACACTGCCGAACCCACTGCCCAGCCCCGAGGAGCACCGACCCACCCACCTGTCCTTGCTGAGGCTGCGCGATGATGATCTGGCCGGGCTGGAGGGTGGTGGTGGCGGCTGTGGTGGTCTGCTGCCCCGTCTGTTGCCCTTGGACCTGGACCGCCGCAGGCTGCTGCGCCAGGGTGAAGTAGTACTGGACGGGCTCCGCTGGGGTCACAGCCTGGCGCACTTCCTCCTGAGCCAAAGGGAAAAAAGAGGAGGAGGAGGAAGAGGAGGAAGAAGACAGGGATGAAGAAGCAGCCTTCGCCAGCTGGTATTTTCCACCAGGGTAGCCTGCGGAGCAATTTCTCCAAGGCCATAGGAAGAAGGGCCACGATCCTAAGAAATACTCAGCAGGGCTATAGCTCCTGCCCACAAAGAGGAAGCACCCTGAGAAAGCACAGAAATCCAAGTGTTGTGAGATTACGGAGAAGTCTTGAGGCATCCCGCCTGCCTCTCGGAGGGCTCGCCTTTAAGGAATTGCAGCATCCACCTGCTGCTGTCCTCAGTGTGCCCCATCCATGCCTGTCTTTAGGGATGTGTTACTGTACTACTCATAAAGAACCCCCTCCCCGTGTTGGGAGGAGGGGAGAGGGGGGCATGCAGGCCACGTGGAAATCACTGCTTGCAGCAGAACCGGCCACCTGCTCCTTCAAGGCTGGGCCGCTAGATGTGGCTGGGCTGCATCACCTATCAGCCCCAGCTCATAAAGCCCCAGCGGCTTCCCCCCGAGACGGACACCCTTCAGATGAGCTGGGGCTGTCGTTCCATTTGTCATCCTCTTGGGGATGATGTAATTCCAAATCATCTGGGAGGGCACCAAAAGGAGAAAAAGCTGATCTATAATGTCGTGGCAGCTATGAAAGAGAGACCTGGGACTGGGAAAGTAGCATCTTTGCTCACGGTGAAGCTGGATTGGGTTCAGCCAGGCACCTCAACCTTCTTACAGCACCGGTGGGGTCTCAAGAGGGCGACGCAGAAAGCCAGTCAAGAGCACTTGGCTTTTTCTGAAGGCAATACGGGGAGCAGAAACCCTTCTTGATCACCCTCCCCTCCACGCCATTCTTCTCCCCAATGAAAATCTTTCTGAAACTCAAACATCTGGAGAGGCCTGGGGGTTGCCCTCTCCTTTGTGACATCCGGACTTCCTTAGATCATAGATCCAGCGATAAGAAGCTGTGGAGGAGAAAGAGGGAACTTTCAGGTCACCGCAAAAGGCTTTACCTGTTGCTAATTGTGAACCACAGACCATGATATGCCACAAACTCGGGTTCTGCTTCTCAACGGTCGTCCCTGCCGAGCTTCTTAAACCCTGCTCTGTTTTCATGCCAGAGAGAATTTGGGGAGTGCAGGGAAGGACTACAGGCTTCCAGCCACGCACAGCAACATGCCCGGCTGGACAGTGAATAACAGCTGATGCAGTTTGCGAGATGATCAATCCATGGCAGGAGGTGTAAACAACCTTCTCCCAGCCACCCCAGAATCACAGCTGAGAGTGTAGGATGTTTACACACGCTGCGGCATGGGAAAAACTGGAACTGGAGAGTACAGGGAACACAAACTAGCTTCCCCTGCCTTCCCGTCTTTCCAGAAGGGCCCAGAGGAAAGAGTCTCTGTCGTGGAGTCCACGATGCACTGTGGGGGGGCTGAACTGGCAACCTCTGGCTCTGCAGCCAGAGACCTAAACCACGGAGAGAAAGCTAGAGCTTTATGAAGGACATCTGAGTCATTCAATGGTTTAATGCTGCCCTGCTTTGGGCGTAACATGAGAAGGCAGGATTCTCTGGAAAAGACAAAAATGCTGGGAAAGGTGGAAGGCAGCAGGAAAAGAGGAAGACGAAATACGAGATGGATCGGCCCCCTCAAGGAATTGCAGGCTTAGGTTTGCAAGAGCAGAGCAGGGCTCTTGAGGACAGGACCTTTCAGAGAGCGGTCATTCATGAGTCGCCCTGCTTTGGGCGTAACATGAGAAGGCAGGATTCTCTGGAAAAGACAAAAATGCTGGGAAAGGTGGAAGGCAGCAGGAAAAGAGGAAGACGAAATACGAGATGGATCGGCCCCCTCAAGGAATTGCAGGCTTAGGTTTGCAAGAGCAGAGCAGGGCTCTTGAGGACAGGACCTTTCAGAGAGCGGTCATTCATGAGCTGGAGCAACTTGATGGCACAGAACAATATCATGTCTCCAGGGAGTCTGACAGGTTTCTGTAAGTTACTGCATTTGGTACAGCATAAAGTTACATCTGCATGAGTTCATGAGAGGCCCACCTGTCTGACGGCACAACGAACTGCTTACCTGGCCATGCAACTGCACTCATGGAACGGCTATCTGGACAAGACGCCCACCTTGGTGCAGATTTCTCCATCGCTTGTGGAACTTACATAAGCATGTCAATACAACAGGATTTTTGGCCACTGCCTTTT